ACTTGCTTTCGCACTCGACAGCTATTGCTACAAAGGAATTTCGGTCCGAAACAGAGATCCGGTGATTAGTAAACAGCGATCAGTGATACTCTGTTAATAAGTTGGTCATGTTCATCGCATTTTCAGCAATATTCATTGAAATACGACGAATACATCAACAAAAGTGAGATCACACATGAAATCAATCAGTGAATTAATTGCTCAACTTCTTCAATTTGAGCAAATAATGAACAAATTCAAAATAAATACGTAAATGAGCAAAATGAAACTCATCAGAATGCACAAGAAACATCAAGTAAATAATAATGATTTGAGTGTGATAGTAGCAATGCTTGCCACTGATCTCATGCACATTCATCATCAAAAGTGCTTTTCAATAACAATAATTATATTGATGCAAATTCGTTCAAATCTATACAGAGACTCTTCGTTATTTATTAGTGTTTGCATACGTTAGGGCACTTCAGAAGTCAGCTCTAAAGAACTTTTATTCTTTAAGTCGAACTGCTCCCGAATATGATGGAATGACTGACTGGCTTCAGAAGGATTCTTTCTGATAATTTAAAACTAAAATTTTGAAGTGATCAAATGAACGCATCGTGAACTAATAAATAACGAAGGAAGTATAGTTCGATCATTTTTGCTGAAAACTTACATGGCCGCATAATGGATCATGAATATGATATGTTTCATTCTGCAATAGGTGAATTTTGAAGAAATACGCGAAGGGAACCTTCGCTTAATCACTGTTGATCGCTTAGATTTAAGAAAATCGGAGTAAGGTACACCAACGTTTCAGTTGGATATTCGACATTGCAGTGAGATACTTTGACGAAACAGAGTCGAAACATAAAGTTGAGCATATCATTCAAGCTCATAGTTTTTGAAAATGGTGTGGATTATTTTGGAATGTTACAGAGATTTTTATGTAGCATGACTGAAATTCCAAGTAATAATTCAGGGATTCACTAGAAAGATTTCTTTTTTTTTTCGATTTGCATACACTTGCAGTTGCATTCATTTNTGAATATAAATTCATTGCTGCAAAGTGAATGAAATCCAAACATTGTTATGGTTGTATGAAACTAATGAGGCATTAAATGAATAATTAGAAAACAACAATAGGTCTTACTTGAGCGTTATCAGGAAGTTCTTCATCCGCATCTCGTGTCCAAGTGATCTCAGCTTCTGGATCTCCAGTCACCTTACAGTCAAACCAGGCACGATCGCCGATTGCAACACTTTCTGATGATGCTTCTAACAGCACTTGAATTATTGTGTCAGGAACTGAAATTCAGCAATATTCACTGTATATCGGCTGAATCGAACCATTGCTCCGTTACGGATCCACGCTTTCCAACTGATTAACTATCGAAGCAATTTGATCGTCGAAGTGTCTATGAACGTTCTAAGTGAGCTGTTACCGATCTGACCCGCTTCATCCATGAGTGTTCATGGACCACATTTGGAGACTTCGTCGATCATTTTCAGGGTCTTGATGAGCTGTGTACAAGCCATCATTTGCAAATCATTGGGCGTTACAGCCAAATAAATCTGTCGCGACTTTAAGAGCAACAAAAGAATAAAAGATAGTTCGATGCATAGATGAAGCGTGAAAAGAAACGAGGTGCATCAATGTGAAATTGCATCAGCACATACAAGTTTCAACGACGACACGTGCAGGTGCGGAGTGCATCGGATGACCCGGATGGAAGTCATCCGTTAAGCAGATATAAATGCCTTGATCGGACGCTTGTGCTTTCTCGATTGTGAGCACTCCATTTTGATCGGTCGCATTTTCGTTCAGTAATCCATCAAGACGTTCCCAGGTGAGCATTACGTGCGGATGACTTGGCATAGTGCAACGCAATTGTATGGTTTCGTTGACCTTAACCGTTTGCGAAACCGGCTCAACGATTGGAACTTGAGCTAGAAAGAGGACAGAAGAAGTGATGATTATTCATTTGCATAGGAAAGTGCTTTGCAGCATATGAGCTGGATGTGATTCGTGAGAGTTCATGTGATTTAAAGCATCTGTGCTTTGGGCTTGGGCTTTTTTTTGGCTGAGAGGCGCATGGAACTAAAAAGAATTGAGAGCTGTATCCATAAATAATTGCGCTGGCAAATCCTTCAATTTAAGTGCTACTTTACAGCTTGGGCTGTATGCAGTTGAAATTTCACCTGATTTGAACACAAGATTTGAGGACCAACGACGGAATTCCTCGAATGTTTTTCAAGGAAAATTATTGAGTTCGGGAAAAAGTAATCGCATCAGCCAGCATTGCTTCATTTAGGATTTTCATGGGATTCTTCTAGATAGCTGATTTAAAAAAACTCATTTTGAACGAAACAACAGTGGAAAAGTGAAATGAGGGACGAATGAAAAATGTTCATTCACAATTTGATGTAATGTCATCGTTGTCTGTATGTGTGCAGTGGTGATGCAGTGAACAGTGATAGGTGTGGAAAATTTTAACAATCGAAAAAAAGCAAAGCTGAAATTTGCTCAAGAAGCACTCGCAGAATATTACAAATTGTGTGGAAAAACAAAATTTCTGAAAAAAGTGAAATGAAATGGAAAGCGAAAATCTGCAAGAACAGACAAAAAAAGAAGCGAAAGCGATAGTTCTGAAGGTGTTAGACGATGAAATGAAGTTGAATGATTCATTAGTTTACCGTAAAAAAATTCATTCAACTGTCAGCTGAAAATGTCTTTTGATTTTGGATTTAAGCGTATGAAATGCTCAATTGCAATTCAAACACAATAAACTCACCATATATAAGTGCGTTGACAAATCCTTCAATTTGTTGTCCCTCGACAGAAACTTTGCACACATACGTTCCCGTTGCCGCATCATCGAATTCTTTGATTCTGAAGGAACATCATTTTTTTATCACGCCTTAATCCTTGCCCATATCAGCATTTTGCTTCGGAGAGGTACCCAAATAGTTTCACGCCTCCTGATTAGATATCGGAGATCAATAACGAACAGTTAATTCATCAATACTAACATAAGTTTGTTCCTGGATGTTACGGCCATCTCTGGCAATTCTCCGTCTTGTTTCTCCCACGTTACCTCGGCACCTGGTAACGCATAAACTGGGCACGTTATTATAGCCTCTGATTTTTCGTCAAATTTCACTATTTGCGCATCTGAAGATAGACAATTCTCGTTTAGTTACGGATAATTTCGAAAATTCCAGCAAGTTAGCAATTTTTCCAGAACACATGTATAGATCATCGTATGGTATCACCTTTAATTAACAAATCACTGAAATGGGAATTCATCGGGGATAGCAAGCAGATAATACTTAAGAAATGACATTGACAAATCAAATGTGTTTCAACACATGATCATTCGTTATAAAAATGATTCAATTACAGTTATCCAGCCAATCCATTACCAACTGAAGTGAAGCCTTCTTGACACGTTATAGAAATTACTCGTTCCCACTTCCACCTTATCATTTCAGTCAGTCAAAATGGATTAAGATCTGTGCCTCATCCGTTTTCTCTGATATTCACGAACTCGACAACAACAATTACACAATCATATTTTTGACTCAGAATTAACCTAATTTACCTGAGTTTACCTGAAACATACTAGAACAGACTCACGTGATGAATCTAATCCATCTGGAAGATAGGCATTTAGAACAGAAGTTTCCACAAGACTGTACTGACTCCTGCAAAGCTTCCTGCCCCGCAATGCGGGTCTTATTCGATGGCTAGATCTCTGTACATTCGTAAATCACTCTCGATACAATGAAATGAAATAACAAACTGTTTGGTGCGCCACTGGCGATGGTCAGCGCCGAATAAGCGGCGCCGAGCAATTGGCCATCATCGTCCTCAACCTCACAACGATAAATACCAAAATCATTCGATGAATCCGTTCGACTAATCGTGAATGAATCTTCACGAGACAGATCTCGTACGACGCTACCACCTCGTAGCAATGACCATTCAAAGTTAACACCGTTGTTATCACCGCCTGAAGTCGTGATTTCCTTTTGCGCTACTTA